GCGAGCCGGGCGGGGCTAATAGCCTCGGACCTCGAGCACAGACAGGCCGAAATCATGTGGTGTTTCCACTGTCGGGCCAGTAGCCTCGCGGCACTCAGTCTTTATTTACAAACTTGGACACCACACGCGGCTATTGACTGACCACGAACAGGAAATATAACTCATTTTTTATTCGTTAACGTCTCGCGGTCTTGCTGTTTTTTTTTTCTTTGAACAATTACATTTTGGGCTAAAAGTGTGTTGTAACCAGGGTTTAAATTTGGGCCGGGGCCGCCTAACCCTAACCCTAGACTCCAGGGCTCGACATTAACGCTTCATTAACGCCAGACAAATAACATGATTAAAACACCAGTAACCGAAAATAACAATGTAAACACCAAAACGCAAGTATTATTCTGATTTTATTACATTTAGAGTAAGTGGCGAATAGTGGATATAGCTACTGTATATAATGCATCTATTGACAGTATAAGGTTCAAGGTTGCGCTAGGCGTACTAGAAACTCCGCATACTGAGGTAAAAAAATCTAAATGGAAAGTTTTTATTATATATATATATACAATTTAACCCCTGGTTGTAACGCAAGCGTTATACTGAACATGTACCGAGTAAAATACTACTGAAAATTGATTAGTAATGCCTTACACTACTACGTTACAGCAAAAAGTAATCCGTTACTGTAATGCATTACTTCTGTAGCGCGTTACTCCCAACACTGATTATACCACAGTATCTATGCAGAACTTAAAAAGCTGTACATAAAGTATGATTGTTTTTTTTTTCAGAGGCAACATCATTTGAACTAAAAAGCCCATTGTTGCCAGGTTAACAATGTTTAATGCAAGAAATAAAATAATCATCGATTTTATTGATTTTTATGTGTGACTTTATAAGAAACTCATCATGCAAAACTAGGTAATAGATAAGTAGATAATCATCATTATAGATGCATAGCCAAGACTAGCACAGACCATCTTCTGGTCTATTTACTTGGGTCATTTTGAGTTTAAAAACTAAATTGAAATTATTCATTTTGTCATTTTATGTTATTTTCCTGCATAAAAATGAATTCCAAAGATATGTGAAAGCTGTACATAAAGAGGCAACATCATTACAAGCAAAAAAAACATTGTTGTAGGTTACCAAAAAAGAGCTGAAGCAAAGTAAAAAAAGTAACAATCTAAATGTTTTTCACTAAATGAATAAAATGTAATGTAATATTTTATATTTTTTCCAGTTACTTTTCTATTATATTAAAAATTGTGTCTCGGACACGCTCTGAGTCACTCGTCACCTACTCAGCTGTCAATCAACCACTGCACTAAAACAAGGGTTTGATATTTTGTTGGTTATGTATGGGTTATGTATAAGCACTTCCAAAAAAAAAAAAAGTGGATAAGCCCCATCATATGTACATAACCAAGACAAGCAGAACATCTTTGGTTGGTCTGATATCAATATGTACTAACATGGTTCAGTTAATGTGTTGGGTAATGCAGTGTTGGGAAGATTACTTTGGAAATGTAATAGGTTACAGATTACAATATACCATATTTAAAATGTAATAAGTAGTGTAACTATTTCATTTACTTTATTAAAGTAATGTAACGGATTACATTTGATTACTTTTCTAAATTTCTAACAAATGTTTTCATCTGTTAATCATTTTGAAACATTTAAAGCAGACAGGGCTAACCTTAGTACTCAACACTTACTACTGTCAGACTTTCAAAATCCTTCTTCATTTGAAATTAAGATGATAATAATTGAATTTTAAAGCACAGCCACCACAAAATCAGACTTTAGCACCGCTTTCATTCTGCAGTAAATACAGATTCAAAATCATAACAAGAAACCGTTTAATAGCTGTGTTTTTGAAATCAAATCTTTGCATAGCTATGACAGGAAACATTGGCATCTAACAATGGCCTTGGAAAAAAAAAACAATTAATCCTGTAAAATAAAGCATATATATAAACCGAAAACCACTAAATCGAGAAGAACCGTGGTTACATCTCCAAGATGCTTCAAGAAACCTACTTGCAAAGCTACCTGAAAAACTCTGCGCAAGTGCACAGAGGGCAGAAGCTGCTTTAAACGCAAAGGATGGTCACACCAAATGTTGATTTATCATCCTAGCATCCTAATTTTACAGCATTTTTACACAAGTGCCTAAAACTTTTAACAGTACTGTAGCTTTGCAGGTAGGATTCCTGAAGCATCTTGGAGACGTTTCCACAGTTCTTCTGGATTTAGTCTGTCTCGGTTTGTTGTTTCTTCACGTCATTCCAGAAAGACTGGATGACGGTGAGATCAGATCTCTGTGTGGAGCACTGGTTGCTGTCAGACAAAAATCTCACTGGATTATTACAATTAATGGCAAAAGGAATGTTTGGAAATGTAAACTGATATTTCCTACTGACACACTACAGCAAAAAAATAACTGACTTAAAACCATTTTTAGCTGCTGAAAATACTAGTGTTCTAATCATTTTGACTAAAAAAAGTTTAATAATAAAGGAGAAGGGCAATAGTGAAGCAAAAAGATTCATTTTGGAAAAATCATTTTTATTAGACTGTCCCCTATCATTCAGTGAACACTGCAAACAAGCATTTTATGTTCTTTCTCGCATTTATCACTTTGGTCTGACTGTCAGTCAGAGTAAGTGTTGAAGATATGCTGATATGATAGCATTATACAGCTCAATGGTTAAAGGCCTGTTTGTAAAGGAGTGTTGTCAGGAATAGCTCCATCCTTTGAAGCCCTGGTGTGCAATGACAAAAGGCACTAACAGAGGTAATGTAACTGTAGGCTAGCTCACACACACACACACACATACTCTTCAGTTAAACATAAATGTGACAGGTCACATGTTGGCTGCTGCGGACACAGTGGACATGAACAGCAGGGAGGTTGGTGTTCATGTTTTCAGAGTCCAGGGGGAGGAGTGCATGAGGAGATGGTGGAGGTGTTTGATCAATCTGCCTCTTTCAGGCCGCAGGGTCTCCTGAATTCCTGACCTCTCTCGTGGATCCATTTATTTGACACTAACGGACAGAAAGAGAGAATGGAAAAGACATCAGACAGATTGTGTTTTGAAATTTCTCTAAGAAATCCATTGTGTCATCTCAAGCTAAATGCATGGTGAGGCTGCCTTCAGAAAACCAACAGGGTTGAAAGTTCATAAAGTTTAGGAAGCTTTAGAAGTTAGCATCGATAGTTCAAACAGACATTACTAACTATTATCTGATTAATGAATAAAATAAAAAATTTGATTTAATATTTTTTTTTAACAAGGGACAGTTGTGGTAGTAACAGGGTTGAAACATCATGACTTCAAGACGTTTTGCTTATTTGCTAACACAGCAGGAAATACTCATGAAGAAAGTAAAATGGTTGATAGTTTATTTTGACATGAATAACTATTTGATTAAGTGCATGAATTATTAGAAAATATAACTGCAATGATGGTAACAGTTGATGATTTCAGATTGTGACAAACCAAACATAATAGATAAGACAAAGTCATTAAAAATGAGAAGACTTTTATGTGTTAACATCCTGAAAGGATGATGAAGTCTTTAAGAGTTTTTTTTTTTTTTTTTTTCATTTATGGAAAAATTCATTATTTTTATAAACAATAATTATGATGGTAACAGGGGTGACATATAACATGCTTTCAAGATGCTTTTTAATGCAAGATTCAACTAAAATGTGCTTGCTTGTTAATACAGCAGAAAATACTCATAAAGCAATAAAAGAAAAAGGGTTGATCGTTTAATTTGACATCACTAACTATTTGCTCAAGTGCATGAATTATTGGAAAAGAAATGTAAAGCATCGTTGACAATTTTAGATGATATATCTAACATAATATATTAAGAAAAAGAGAAGACTTTTAATATAATTCATATTATTTATGGAATAATATGTTGTTTTAACAAAGTATATTTATAATCATAATGGGGAAAATGCCTATTATAATAATAATTAGTAAAAACTAGTGTCAGTTAATTATTGTTAAAATCAGTATATACACATTAGGAGGAACACATACAAAGCCATTTTTATATAGAAATACATAATTACTAAAATAAGCATGATCCATTCAGAGCATAAAGAAAATCTCCTGACAATACACTGTGTCTGAGACACTCACCCCACTTGTTACCCAGCAGTACTGGACAAGCTGCGTGTCTCGTGCTGTAATCTCCC